TCTCTCTCACCCTTCAAACAATTTAACTTCACTGTTCCTTTCTCCCCGCTTTCAGAGGTATCCAGTCTTAACCTGTTCAACTCCTTTGCCCTAGCTATGCCCCACCCATATGCCTTTAACTCTACGTCCTAGACTTTCCTTCCTACACCTGGCCCTCCTCCCTGCCTCTCCCCATCCAGCCAGGCCCCCAGGCCCCACCAACTGGGCCTTCTTCTCAGACCTCATCGCCCCTTGTTGGGTTATTTTCTAGAATAGCCCCTCAACCTGTACCCCTGCAGTCCCTCCGCTGCACAGCCTGTCCATGTAACACTGGACCTGGTCACATTACTGCTCTGGAGAATACAATGCACAGCCCGAAGGATGCATTAGAGTCCTGGTGTGGCACTGCGGGATAAGCACTGGACTGCCACACACAAGGTCGATGGTTCAAACCCACCAGCCGTTCCTTGGGAACTATACTAGGTTGACAGGAGTTGGAACTGACTTGACGGCACTTAACAAAGGATGCATTCAGCACCCCTTTCAATTGGACTTCAGAACATTTTTTAAATCCTCCAGAACTTTCAATGCTCAACTCTAATGTCACCTCCTCTCAAACACCTTCCTCCTCACCCTCATCCCATGGCAAACAGAACTCAATACAACCTCCCCACACCAAGCTCTGTAGCACTCAACACAGCACAAGGCCCTTGGTGACCTCTGTGCCTAAAACATACCATCTCAGCCCAGCGAAATCCTCCTGAACTTTCAAGGCTCTACCCAAACGTCACCTCCCTTCTAACACCTTCCTCGATCCCAAATCGGAATCCATCACTTTCTCCTGTTTCCCTGACTCTGTTTATACATTTCTATCCCAACACGGCACATTCTGGATCAGTCTGACCGTCCTTCCCAAGGCTCAAAGGCTCCGTTCTAACTGACTGGTCACTAGGGCTGGGCACAAAGCACATAAACATTTGTCTGATTTGATGAATCCCAATATCGCTGCACAAGACCTTTTTAAAGTATTGAAGAGCAAAGATGTCAGCTTGAGGACTAAAGTGTGCCTAACGCAAGCCATGGTATTTTCAATAACCTCATATGCATGCGAAAGCTGGACAGTGAATAAGGAAGACCGTAGAAGAATTGATGCTTTTGAGTTATGGTGTTGGAGGAGAATATTGGAAAAGCTGTGGGCTGCCCAAAGAACCAAAAGATCCGTTTTGGAAGAAGTGCAGCCAGAGTGCCCCTTGGGGGCCAAGATGGCCAAACTTTGTCTCTCATACTTCGGACATATTGTTAGGAGGGGCCAGTTGCTGGAGAAGGATATCATGCTTGGCAAGATGGAGGGAGAGAGAAAAAGAGGAAGACCCCCAACGAGATGGATTGGCCAAGTGGCAGCATCGATGGGCTCAAGCGTGGCAACAGTAGTGAGGTTGGCCCAGGATCGGGCAGTGTTTTGTTATGCTGTGCATAAGGTCACTATGAGTCGGTACCAACTCGATGGCCCCTAACAACAACAACAACAACAACAATGTTATTTTAACCAGGATTTTCAACAGCACTGCCCAGCTCTACCCCTTTTTGCCAGGCAGACTGGGGAGACACTCAGTGTTTGTTTCATCTTTTGTTGTCAACATTCCAATTCTGCCTGGACCCAGTGTGAAACGCAAAGTCGGTTTGGATTGGAATATTAAACCTTCTCTCAGTCCCACCCTTAAGAGCAACACTTGTCTCGATGCCCTCCTGAACGGATGCTGATTTGTGCCTGAGGGACAGGTCACTGCACAGGGGACTTCATTAGTCACAGGGTGACCAAGCAAGCTTCCCGGCTCCTGTGGTTCTGAATGCGAAAGCTACACCCAGAGGTCAGTGCACCTGGGGGGAGTCATCTTTGCGCTTGGGAGTTCCTCTGGGTCCCCTGCACCTCCCAGTCCCGGGAAGGGGCTGGAGGAGCCTGCCGGCGGATGGGCTTCCCATTCTTCTCTATCTTCCCAAGTTTGTTGGCCAGACTACAGTTAGTCCCAATTGGTTTGGTTTTGGGAAAATATTCATGATCAAAGGTTTCATGCCCGTGAGCACAGGCATGCACACACATACACACATGTGTGACTACGGCCCGAAAAGACCTTAAAATACACAACACAGTAGTGGAGGGTGTGAAGGCACTGCTCAGCTGGAAGAATGTGATCAGTGTCAGTAAATGGGCCATGCAGAAGCTGTTGGATGAGTGTATGTTGTGCTGTGCATAGTCTCAACACTATAACTTAAAAAAAAGAGAGAGAGACAGCTCTTAAAACATCAAGGCTAGAACCCACTGGGAATCAGAGAAGGCTCTGAGAATTTCTGACATCGCTCTGGGCTACATGCAGTCTCTACACTGGGTCCTGCATCCTCCATAAATGACCTCAATACCACAGCCTACAGAAAAGACCCCATACGCTCTGCCACATGGAATTCTGTCTTTCCTAGAGCTCCAACCTGCTCTTGCAACTTCCAGGCCTGTGGCAGGAGATGGGGCTTCCTACTCTGCCAAGTACGCTGTGTGGCTGATCACGGGCCCGGATTAGATCATGGACATGGAAGCATTTCAGAAACCATGCTTTTAAAGTACTTTTCACACCCCTCTCTTTTCAGCTTCTCTAATTTAAACGTTATCTTGGTCATTCTTACAGTGCTTAGCATAGTGCTTGGCACAAAGTGCATTTGGACACCAACCCTGTGCAGGTACTGGGAGGTGTTCACAAGCATCACTGCACATGACACTCACATGAGTCCCATGAGACAGAGTTCATTACCTCTGTTTAGCAGCTGAAGAAACTTAGACAGAGTGAGGTTAGAGGTCTTGCCCAGGATTGACACAGCACTGGAAAGCAAACCTGAAGAAGAACACGAGGACCTTATCTGTTCCTTTTACTGCTGCATCCACAAACCTTAGGAAAATCAGCGTGGGCCTAGGCGGGCCTCAGCTAACACTGAACTGTGTAAATGACACACAGAGAAGAGCAAGTGCGGATTTGTTTTGAACTTTAACCTGGAGCCCGAGCCAATGACTGCTGTTGTTAAGTGCCGTTGAGGCGGTTCTAACACACAGCCACCCTGTGTAGGGTTTCTAGGGTTGTAAATCTCTGCAGGAGCAGAAAGCCTCACCTAACTTCCACAGAGTGGCTGGTAGGCTTGAACCACCAACCTGTGGTTTGCTGTCCAGTGCTTATTCTAAAGAGCCCACTGCACTCCTTCAGTCAAGGGTAAAGAAGAGTACTCTCAAT